ATTAAAGGATGCATCAAGAAAGCAAATTGTGAAGACAATACACCAAAAGTGAAGTTGTCTGGAAACATGCTGTGGCCAAAAATACAAGCAGGAAAAAAAAGGCTACAGGTAAACTGACAACAAATACTGAAGGAGTGAGGGAAACCCGGAAGGAGTACCATATTTTCTTGCATATAATACACCCCCCAGATATACACACACCCTATTTTTGGAAGGTCCCAAAAGGAAGGGAGGGGTAGCAGTGTTGATTGCCATGTTCCAGAGCCACATTAATTAATGCAGCCACTGCTCCCCCTTGAAAATTTCTGGACCTACGGGGAGCCATTTTTTCAGATATAAGGCACATCCCTATTTTCCCCAGCTGGTTTTGGAGGGCAAAGATGTCAGTTATATGCACAAAAACACGGTATTTTGACTGTGCAGTAAACCCAATGTGCCCTCCTTATTCAAGCATTTTTAACACGAAATATGTCAAGGGAGCTTGCAGGGTAGAATGAATATTAGCACTGACTTAAAATCACAAGAAAAAATGGAAAGAGCAGGGAAGAAATTAAAAATAGGAGAGCTGCAGGTATAGACTGCACAGGGGACGAATTGTTAAAAGTTGTCAGGACAAGGGCCAAGACATCACGAAAAAATATACAAGAGGGTATGGGGCATAGAAGAAATACCACATGAGCAGTCACAGACACCAGTGGTATTAAGATTCAGAAAAGGAAATCTTTCCAACCAGAATAATTAGAGATACAAACTTACTGCAAGTATGAAGAAAAATCATGATAATGTTAACTGTCAATGGACTAAGCTGTTTTTGTGGGAAGTAGTGAATAAGGAACAATACTGGCTTCAAACCAGCCTGACACTATGAATCAGAGATCTAAGCTCTGGTGATTAATGAAAAAAGTAAGAATGGGGATTTAAAGACGTTTGGGAGATGGGGGGGTTTCCACTGATGTGACAGAAGCATTTGAATCAGCTTGAAGGGAAGCATTATGGAAGGTAGCAAAATTATATGGCATTCAGCTAGGGTAATGGCATTTCTAGAAGTTATGTAAAGGATTCTGACAATGCAGTAAAAGTTGGTGGAAAATTAAGTAACAGGTTTGAGTTAAAGTTTGGTGTAAGATAGGGGGATCTAGAAGCACTCATAATATTCATCATGTTCTGAAACAGGGTATTAAAAACACAATAGTTGGAGGGAGACATCAGATGATCTAGAGATAAGCCCTTTAGCTTGTGCAGATGACATTGCACAACTGGCAGACATGTCTGAATGAATAATGATGCTCTTCCCTACCTTGCAAAACTAATACATTTAACTTGGCCTTACATTAAATGCCAAGGCAACAAAGCAGTTGCATCTTGAAAAAAAACACAACAATAGATAAAGTGTGGGAAGGCAGCAACAGTGAAGCTGCAGAATAAGCTGGATACTTGGAAAACTTGATCAGGATGGTTCTATCAAATGATAAAGTTAAAAAAGAGATGAGCACTAGCCATGAGTGCTTTGTGAAACCGATGCAATTATGTACTGATCAAAGCACTATATTTAGTATCAAAGGGCAAATTTAACAAGCTCATCTATTAATAGTATTATTTATGGACTCAAAGCAGCATCATTACATGAAATAGATATCAATAGCCCATAGGTAGCACAGAGGAGAGTCCTCTGAAAGACGATAGGTGTAAAGTGGAATAATTTTAAGACAAATGAATTTGAAAGGAGAAATCACATTTCAGGATTGGCTACAACTGAAATGATCATGGCGAAGACACAGCAGATGACAAACACAACCAAGATCAGGCTGACCCAGAGACCAATCAGATGAATAAGCATGGCATGCACAGACATGATACAGCTGGGTTTAATGGAGAAAGCTTTGGAGAAGAATACATGATGGCTCTGAAACACTCCCAATGTCTGCCATGGTAGAAGGAGAATTAGAGGATAGAGTTGATCAAAACGGCTTTTCTTGAAAGGCCCCCATGCAGAAAGCCCTTAGGAACGGATAAACCATTAGGACTTCGGCTGAAAGAGCCTGAGGAAAGGCGAGTCAAACAGTCACTTGTTATGCCATTTTCGTGGAGTGCAGCGGACCAAACCTGTTAGCGCGCTCCCTGGCAGTTGACCTTTTCACGGTAGTCATGCGGAGATACAAGAATGTCTGAGCTGTTGGCCTTTGCTGATTTAAAAATATCCAAGAGCAGGAATCTGGAAAACCTGTACCTGAGACCTAGGGCCACCTATACACGAGCAGTGAGGCCGCTTCGATGCGCTGTAGTTACAGCATGTCGGACCAGAATCAGTTAATTAAATCTGCTGAAGCGTGGTAATGACCGTGCTCCAGCTGACTCCAATGTCTCGTGTATCGATGTCCCTGCACTGAAAACTGGTAGCGGGGTGCTTTAACTAAAGCTCATTTGACCAGCTTTAGTTAAAGTGACCCCACTGTCATTTTTCAGCACAGGGACACTGATACACAAGATGCTCCGGGTGCTTTAACTATATCGGTTCTTGGAGCTAATCTAATTAAAACGGCTTCCCCCCATTCCCAGAGCACATGTATAAATGCCCTAGTTTTCTACTGATGGTGCAAAGATTTGAAAACAGAACCTGAGAGGCAAGAAACACTTGTGAAACTGCACACCAATTTCCAGTTCACCCTCCGCCGTTCCAATAACCCCTGAATTACATTAAGCTTTGATTAATATTTTTCTCTGAACACTTTACTACAATCCTGTGGCTACAGATCTGGGTTCCTCACTGCTAGACTAGTTAGTACATAGCTGTCCTGTTGTGTGATGCTCTTTGATATTATTTTCTTCCATGGTGAAGACAAACATTTCTGTCTTCCCTTAAATAAGTACATACGGACAGTTTGTTTGTGCCAGCTGAGATGTTGTCAGCAGAGGACATGAAAAGTGATATCTTTCTGTTATTCTAATGCTCTGGACAAGCCTGCTTTTCAGCAGGGGCTTAATCATATTGCCATTTTTGCAGGTACAATCACAGCTAGTAAGACATCAAATGCACAGATGTGTCAGTACAAAGATTTGCAGCTGGATAAATTGAAGCAGATCCTTCTTTTACTGGCAGAGTCTTTCATTTACCAATCTCAAAGCACTGCAAAGGAACAGGTATGTGTTTATCCCTAGTATATAGCTAGGAAATGGAGGTACCGATTGGTTAACAGTAATTCAATGGCAGAGGCAGGAATAAAACCCACTCTTCCTGACTTCCAGCCCAATCTCCTTATATGCTAGCCCAACACAGCTTTCCATACAAGCACTGCAGCCTTCATCTTGAGGACTCTTGCCTCAGGTATGTATGCGAACAGAAAAACCCATAACTATTCTTGTTCCAGGGGAAGGTCAGGAGTCACAGGGTTTAAATCCCTGCTTTCTTTCAAATTCATGATGACAAGGAAGCACCTGAGGCTCTTAATTATCCTTCCTCTCCACCAGGGCCTTAGTACCTGAATCAAATCGTTCTGACATCCATGCCAGGAAGTCTATCATCATCTGGGGAGAGATCATGTCTCACAGATTCAGCTTTGCTTCTTTCCTAAATAACATGAGTTTCTCCTGCTGCTGTTCCACATTTGAAAAATAGTGCAACTCCTGAACCACCCATCTGGTTTAAATTTATCTACCTCTTCACCCTTGCAGCTTCATATGCTTGCACACAAGGGTTGTATAATTCATGAGGTTTAGAAGAAATCTGTCACTTCAGATACCAGTGTGGGAGTTCCTGGTGCATTTACCAGTATCAGGGTGGAGGGTTTCAAAGTCCTGGTAAAATCCCTCTCTACAGCACTGGGTGCTACAAGCAAAGCAATTGGCTGTCCAGTTATAAATGCATGTTATACATGGATGCCTGTATTACTGAGATGGATTGCATAGGTTATGCTATGGTCTGCAGCATCTCGGTCTCCTTTGGTCTTTGCAGGTTTCAAATCTACAAGAGACCCTGGAGAAGTCTGCTGAAAGAAACCTGCTCCTGTACCTTCCTTGTAGGGGGGAAAATGAAGCTGCTTTGTTTGGCTCTTGAAAGATGCCCTTTATATTCAGCAGAGCTGAAGCATAAAGATGAGAAGTCATTGCTTCCTCATGGGCTAGGTTTTTTTTTAACATGCCAGGAGGAACAGGGTTTATTTGTTCTCCTAATTTTTAATGTGCATTCATACAGGGCTAACTGCGTAATTCTACACCCAGGCAAAATTCCCACTGGGGCAGGAGGAAGCATCTCAAGTTCTTTGAAGACCGTGGCCACTCATTATTAAGCTGTACTTTAGACATAGAATACTCTGGGGGGGGAATTTTACTATCGTCCTACTTAAAGAAAAAAAAAATCTTTCTTTTCTTGTTCTTTGAAGGACCCATCCAAGCTGCAGAGTGACAAACTCACTGTGGGCACTGGGGGAAGAGTGAAACTAGAAAGCAAAAGTAAAGAAACTTAAAAATAAACTATTCCTCTCTTCTCATTTCTTGCAGGTACAGTCAATGTTGATGTTCCATTATCAGTCAAAGTGTGATAGTCACATGGATTTAAAGTCAGAAAATTAGTGTCCTGCTCCTAAAAAAAATACATTCTGTAAATCTCAGGACTTTTGGATGTCTCACTCCAGGATGCAATCGGTGAAATTCTGTACAAGGCTGTAGTGCTTGTACAGAAAATTGTGTTGGGCTAGCATATAAGGAAACAGGGCTGGAAGTCAGGAGGATTGAGGTTTATTCCTGGCTTTGCCAAGATGTGAAAGAGCTGGAAATACCAGTGTATTTGCATTCTCTGGCTCAAGTAGTGGAGAAACCCGTGTGCGCACAATACACTCATGTTTAAGAAGAACAGACGATTGATCTTTTGGAAGGAAACGTTCTGCTTTTAAATGTCAGCTTTATCCACTTGAAAGAATATCTCCCAGAGAAGGAGCTGAACTTTCTCGTGAGTGACAGTATGCTCTATTGAAGCAGACAGAGGGTCGATCCATGACTGCATTTACCTGGACCAAGTTCATCCATAGGTATCATATCACGACTTCCAGCCTTCTCGTTATCTACAAAACAGAAGCATTGAAACTATTTGTACTGTGCTTGCTGGGAGGAATGCAGAGCAGGCTTGGATTAATCACAGGGCCAGAGGAAAGAGGGGAGCCCATAACTTACTGAATGCAAGAGGCTATAATGAAACAACTTTTAAATTCTGATCATTCAGAAAGGAAGGTCCTGATGCAAGGAGCACTCAAACTCACATGCCTTGTGCTACGGTGCCGTGACATGTACTGGGACATTCCACTATTCCAGCAGCGTCATGTCTGCTCTGGACTGCGATAAGTTTTCTGGAGTTTAGTTTTATATCTGGCCAAAATGGAATGAGATTCTCTCCTCTGCCCAGAGAGAGGAGCAATCAGGAGGACATACAAGGTTTTGAGAAGATAATTTTCATATTGGTTCTTATCTCCAACATGATCAACAATACAAGACAAAGGAGGTGAGCACGGAACTGGCCATGGCCTGCAGCCAGAACACCTTGGGAGTGGCTCTGTCAAATCTGACCACGTACGCACAGATGAGTCTGAGCCAGTACTTGGATAAGAGACCTCCAAGGACAACTCAAGTGACAGGGGATACTGTGCTGGTGACTCAGTGAAGACTTTCTTTCAAACTCAGTACTGAACCAGTGTTTCAACTCCACTGCAGCAGTGAAGGTGATTCCTTCAGCAGGAGATGTACAAGATCTAATGACTTGTGCTTATTAAACATACCACGTTTATATCACAAGTGCAAGGTTGTTAGTCTCCTGGGCTAAACTCCAATTGGGTAGGATCATAGGGGAGTAGGGCTAGAAGGGACCTCATAAGATCATCTAGTCCAGCCTCCTGCTCAAGGCAGGATCATCCCTGATTAAACCATCCCGGCCAAGTGTCTGCATAACCTGCTTTTAAAAGTTTCCAAGGATGGAGATTTCACAACTTCTTTAGGCAGCCTGTTCCAGTGCTTAACTACTCTCAAAGTCAGAAAGTCTGACATCATGCCTACTTTAAATCTCCCTATAAGTTTGCAACTGAGCTTTTTACCCTGAACTACACAGCTATCAGGTATTTCATGGTAGATTCCGTGTCTATGTAGTTTATAAAATGATAGCTTTGGGATCTTTGGATGAAAGGCACCATAGAAACAAACAAATTGTTATTTTGATCCCAGCCCCACAACACTACTATTACAGAATAGCAAAACAGCCTGGGGAGGCAGAATCATTGCAACTCATATGAAAGACCAGCACTGACCTTGGCTTTTATCCACTAATGGCAGAGTGCTGTCATCATAGCCAGACTTGCCAGAAGTACCTCTGGATCCCTTTGGTGCTGCGGAAACAGTCTAAAAGACAAAACACCAGAGTAAGAAGCTGCTTTGGTGCTGCAAACACAGCAGCTGACAGATCCAATTAACAACCAAGCAAAACACCACTTCAGAATCATGTTCTGGAGCCCTGTTCCTGTTCCATCTGCTGCTGCTTCATGGATCTTCAATCACAACCCAATTAAGAATTAGAATCAAAGAAAATGAGGGTTGGAAGGGACCTCAGGAGGTCATCTAGTCCAACCCCTTCCTCAAAGCAGGACCAGCCCCAACTAGGTAATTCCGGCCAGGTTTGTCTAGCCAGGTCTTAAAAACCTCCGAGGATGGAGCTGCCACCACCTCTCCGGTAACCCATTCCAGTGCTTCACCACCCTCCTAGTGAGAAAATTTTTCCTAATATCCAACCTAAACTTCCCTTGCTGCAACTTGTGGCCATCGCTCCTTGTTCTGTCATCTTCCATCACTGAGAACTAGTTTAGCTTCTGAGTATTGTCCATTTCACTACAGAGCTACTGATGGCTTCTCCTTTCCTTGTCACTTAAACGGGCAAGCAAGTAGCTGCATTTGCAGGTGCAAAGTGACAGCCACTGCTTTTCAGACAAAGAAACCAGATGCATCTTCATAAACAGAACAGGCAGCTGCCATATGAAGTGCGTGCCTGGTAACCAGTGACCAACAATGCAATGTATGCTTGTAGAGGGTTACAGCTAACGTTACGAGCTCCCAAAGCACGAAGAACACATGCCACCAATTTAAGTATATTTATGACCCCATTAAAAAACAATTATCACCTAAAACCAGAAATTTCTCTGTCAAACTCTGCCACTGACATGGTAAGGAGTTAGGCCTGCACACCGAGGGAAGGATAACACATCTCATGGAGCTTTCTCTGAACACTGACTTGGACTAGGACTCTGCATCTTTACCTGGAAATGGGATTTGTTCCACCCATCCTTCTGCAGAACGCTCCGTAGTTCTTTGTAGCTCCAGACCATCTGAAGAACATGAGATGCTGCCTTTGTCTCCCGGGGGGACTGGCTGATTTATGAGACAAAATTAAAACCTCAAAGATTAGAAGTTCATAAATTGACCCCGTAAGCTAAAATCCTAAACATTCCAGCAGACCTGTCATTTCCCACAAAGCATTAAGATAGCTGCTCAAAGAATATATTTTTGGGTCAAACTTGTCTAATGAGGGTCCATCTAGTGCTTATATGAAAACATATCTGTTCATATAAAAAGCCACCTGCCTGAACAAAAGAAGCTGTGAATTATGCAGAGGTAAGATTTTCGTTTGCATTAGCGTGCAGAAATAGTACACAGATCTGCTTGGTGGATTCCACCTTTTGTACTAAGCCTTTATTTAGGTCAAGACAGCAAAGTTGAGCACCCAAACTCTAACAGCAATCAGTTCTGAAGCATCTCTGGAAAACAAGCTCTCAGTGCCTTAGAGTCATCTTCAACATCTTTGGCCCAGTTGTACACGTGCTCCATAACATGAACTCAGCTGAGTCAACAAGTGGTTTAAACCATATGGATGAGAGCAACATGGATGAAAGAATAAACCTAACTAATTCTTACCTGAAAAACATTTTTGCATTTATTCCTTGCAAGTCAGTACCAGTCTGCTACATAAAGCAATACAGTGCCAGGGTGCTGGCTGATTCTTACTTGCACAAAACAATGAAGAAGAATAAAGTAACCTTCAGGTATGCTCTGAAAAGTCCGTTAAAATCATTTATAAATACACTCATTTCTGCTTCCTGGAAATAAAGCAGGCAGCTCTTCTCAAAGCTATCAAGAGTTTTTTGGTAAAGTACCATGATGCAAAAGTGTTACTTTAAATTATCACCTCCAAGCTATTAGGCAGAATGATTACTACCCTCATGAAACATTTTATTTAAAAGTAATAAAGTTTTATCACTTGCATTCCAGAAATGGAATATTGCCACTGGATGAAGGTCTCCCACTCTGCAAATAAAGGTCATGGTTTCACTGCATATGATGTCTGATAAATGCAGACACAATGCTAAGACACACCAGGCCAAGAGAGATTGCATCCTACAATGAGAGAACATTATATTCTCTTGAGCTTATCTCTGGGGTCCAGTAAACCTGTTATAGGCACTGCTGTAGGATTTGTTTTTATTAAACATTTTTAGGACTTTGGCTGAAAGGTCAAGATGGTTGGACACCATCACAGAGCAAAACATCGCTGTTCACAGTGGGTTTTCTGTATATTGTTTTCAGTTGGAACCTACCTTGATTTGCTGATTGTTACCAGCTTCTGAATGCCCTGGGTCTGGATCAGGGACCTTGCATTTTCTGAACTGTCAGTAATAATTTCATGGATAGTATTCAAGACGGCAACCACTGTATCCTCTTCCAGGTTTTTAGCAGACCTCTGCTGTCTACTAGGCAAATTTCTTACCAGCTCCCCCATGGCATAGCTACCTAGATAAGGGGGGGAGACATCATTAGGCAGACCCAATAAACACTCCATCCCAGTCTGCATCCTTTGCACAGTCCAAAGAGCTTTCAGCATCAGTTTCTTGGATCTTAAGACTGTAAGTTAACAGTGTATTCATCATTAATTATGACAAAGTGCTTGAGAATTAATAGCCAAAGCAATGTCATGCAGCACAATGGGTGCTAAAGATAACAGGGAACAGAAGTTTGCAACCTTTGCTGAGAACTTCATGGCCAACATATATCATGCCTTGCTGTGCCTGAGGCCAAAAGCATTCAGCAACTGCTGCTAATACCGAATATTAATGCTAATGTGCACACATACCATTTATTCAACTTAGCTTTGTAACAGGCCTGCTGGGGTGAGATGTGCAGCCATGCATCTATTAACCTTCCCCTGAAAAAGGTAACAACCTTCCCCCCAGGGTACATTCAGCCTTCACACTATACAGCATCGAAGAGAAACCTCAGTCTTGGGTTTATTATTCCCTGGTGCATGTTTGCACCATTTGGTAGCAACATAAACCACAACTAGTTTAGAGGTAAGAAATCTGGGTGCATTTAAGGTAGGAATTGAAGATTGTTATTTATGAGGCATCAGCTGTGTTTCAGCTCTGCATGCCGCAGGAACATTTCCTTGCCCAACAAGGTTACAGCTGAAACCAATCATACAAATTGCTGGAAACACACCAGAAGGCTCAGAGGAAAAGTTTAATGTGGAACTGAGCCTTTGTGATTTCAGTTTAATGAAGACATGGGTGCGTTTTAGCCAAGCTGGATTATTGCTGGCAAGTGTCACAGAGCAACTAAGTTTTAAGGAAGAGGTTTTGAATGGAGAGAGCATGGATGCCTGGCCTCTGGGTATAGGGGCTGGCACAGAAGCACAGAGAATCCCATAATGGGGAGACATGAAACAGTCCACTGACAGACCAAAAGAGAAAAGAGTAACACATGCAGATGTCAGTGTTACTTCTGTAATGTATTCCAGTATCTGCTACAAAGTAAAGTTTCATTCCCATTAAGCTATGTCATCTGCAAGAACAAAAATTAGATGGACTGAAATTAAATTTGTAGATGGCGATTCTTCACTCAGCGCATATGTTGGCCTCCTATCCTTACGGGGGCTGTACGTAAAATAAACTACAGCCTCAAATATTCAACATGAGTCTGAATTATTTCTCAAGTCCATATGTGTCTCCTGGGTTTTGGCCCTGCAAGAGATGTTTGAAAGGTACCTATGAGATCCTTGTTGCGACGATCCATGGAGAGATTCCTCAGTGCAATCGATACTGCCCTCACAACCTTGTCCGAGTCAGACTGGAGAAGCTCCACGAGGACTGGTAAGCCCCTCTCCTTTCGTACTGTTGCACGGATGTATGTAGACCACTGATCATGAAGACACACAAAAAGAAAAACAATACATGGGGCTGTGAATATACAGGCCTATTTCCTCCCAGATTGTATTTCTTTCAGTTGTATCAAAGGCTGTTCAAGCTGAAAAGCCCACACCTAGGATGAACCACCAATTTCTATAGTTTATATGGCTTGCATCATACCTAGCTGCCTTGGCTTACCAGCTTGAATGGCCAGGTCCCCATTACCTGCAATTCTGAATACATAATTCCATTTTTAATTATACATTAAAATGTGACTCCACCTTCAGACGAGTGTCAGGAAGCACTATCTTGCTGATTCACAGACTCTGCTGCTCTGGTTGATCAAGTATTCATTACTGACAGCAGACAGATTATCACGGATGTTGTTGGGGAGAAGGATCTAGAAGCAATTTTGGGATGCAACTCCCTCTGTGATTTGAAAAGCTGATGAACTGGGACAACATCCCATCCTGGGATCAGACCAAGCTCAGCTGTCTCTTAGAGAAGCTCTTATTAAGAAACCCAAGAATGAAAAGTGCATGAAAATGTGAACTTGCTCCTGTTGACATCTGTATCCCCTTTCATCTCAGTGCCAACACTCCAGTCATAAGGCGCTTTCAACTGGGCAAATCCATGATATATTTGTAAAACCGGCAAGTAAAACAGCATTCATTTTTCCCGTTACCGTAAATTGTCTCAATAACGAGAGGGAGATTCAATTTTGTGCCTGAACTGGTAAATTCTCATGACAATTTTGTAGGATGGCAACATTCACAAACACTCTAATATTTGCAAATACTGTCTGCAAATTCTAAGCGTAAGTACCATGCAGCTACCTTCTCTAACAGTATGAAAGAGGGAAAATGTCAGAACAGCTGGGGAACAAACAGGATTAGACAATTTTACTCCTCTTTGGTCACAGCATGCGTCTCATCTCCAGTGTTGTGTGGTGAATTTCTCTGGGACGGAGGTCTTCTTTCAGAGGCCAGATTCAGGAGGTCTGGTTGTTTGCAATTCATTCCTCCCTGTTTACAGGTAGAGGCAGAAGGTCGGATTTTCAAAACTGCCTGGGTGAAGTGTAACGGGATTTATGCACCTAAGTCACTGAGACACTTGACTGTTTTACCTCAGGTACCACAAATGGAGAGTTTTTGTCTGGTCTAGGGAGTGATGGGTTGTGCTTTAGCCCTGCCTGGCAGGCTGTAGGATCATGTCTCTGATGAATACTTTAACAAAGATATGCATGAAATTGTAATTTATTTTATTAAAAAGAAAACCACCCTAAGCAGTGCTGAAACCTTCTCTGGAAGTTAAATATTTTACACTTTGTCCAAACCAATACAAAAAACAAAAAAAAGGAAACACAAATAAAAAGTAACAGAGAACAGAGTGTAAGGTGCCACATTATATCATACCTAGAGGGGTCAATTCAGGAGGGTTGAAAAAAAGTGGACGTGGGGAATGTATTGTACTCACTGTCCAGTTTCCAGCACTGAGGTTCTGCAAAGCCCCTGCTGCAGCTTCCAAAGTGTTGAAATTCTGGCTTTCAGTGAGGATAGAGAGGTATAGTCGTACCACGTCTGGCTGATAGAGCAATTCAAAGCCTGCAGGGAGAGAACATTTAGGAGTCAACACATAAATTGGTATTTGGTACCTCTGCACTCCTGGAGAATGTGAGAGAAGTTTGTGCTGCAGGAGCAGCACAAGGCTTGTGGTTGCACCTAGCCCACTCTGGTCCTGCCTGCTGGAAGTGGTACACGCTGGAAATCAGTAGCAGGACCTATGAACTCTCCAGCTCTGCTGTTCTGCGATAGCCTGAGCACAAACTTGCTTTGCTGATTTTCAGGAATGAGAAACCACCTCATTGCTACAGACTCAGAGATTTACTCTGTGCATTTAACTAACATGCTAAGCATGTGTGCGCACAGGTGTGTGGCACGAGGTCAGGCTTGTTGACAGTCATACCTGCATGGTTAAATGGGGAGCGAATTACGCTGGTAGCTGGTTTTTGCATTCAGATCAATTGAGGTAGCTTTTGCAGGCACTATTAACAGTGCCAATGTGAGACTATGTAGCACAGTTACATCAAACTTCCCCTTCTGACTCCTGCCTGCTGCAAAAATATAGCATGCAAAGTTAAAAGAAGAATCAATGGGTGGGAGAGTGGAGAATGCCACCATTTTAGCTAAGGTTCAGACACTATGCAAAGACAGATGGACACTGTATTGCACCTAGAAACAGTGAAGGATGTAATATACATTAAAGAATAATTCCAAAGGCAAGGCACCCATTCTGTATCCCAGATACATGACTGGAGCCAGTTGGTTTAGATTCTAGTCCCAAGCTCTGCCACATATCCCCCTTTGTTATACCGGGTAAGTTACTCTTACTAACCACTGTGTTCCCTGATGTTTTTATCCAGAGGATTATCCTCATTTGTTATTGCCACAACCACAGTGTCTAGGAGCTTCAGGGTCCCACTGTGCTAGGTGCTGCACACTGAGACAGTAGTTGCTCGTTCTGCAGGGCGTCTGTCATGCTAATTCAGTTGGATGATGCCCCTGCTCTTTCTTTGGCGTTGGCTCTGAAACCACTGGTTGTTTATGTGGCAGTCCACGGACAGGCGTGTGCTCTCAATTAGCATCTCTCCTGCCTGTAATCAGTTCCTTGCTTCCTGTACCAAGTGATATTGTCCTCAATGAATGCTGAGCCAAAAAAGGCTATTTAAAATATGAGGCATTTTGGACTCTTTCTCCTGCTCTCTGTTCTCACCAACAGCTTTGTGTTTTCTCTTAGTATCTCAATGGATTCACAGACCCCTTTCTTCTCACCTTGGATTCCTCTAGACAATAATATTTGCATTTGCTGTTTGGGCTCCCTTATTTTGCCTTTGCTTTCCTTACAGCAGTTTCCCCCCAGTCACCACTCTTTTCCACTTCCGAGAGCTAGTTGCTCTTTTTTGTAATTCAAGTCTTTTGTTATTCTTCCTTCCAGTCACATAGCTTTTAAAACAGCCTTTGTTGCATTTTCAAATTCTATTGTATTGTTGGTCTTTGGACTTTCAACTATTGTGCTGTAAAAATTCTCCCCTTTTCTTTTCTTTATACATTGCATAGCAAGTTTTAACTAGCTCACTATTAATTTAAATCCTTATGCACAAGTAAGGTCTAATGGCTAGAGAGACGGTCAGGATGTATGGTGCCTCCTCTTGGCTAAAGTACAACGGGCCTTGTTACACTTTAATTTTGGGTGGCTTCTGGAGCTCCTGGATTGTCCACATGTTAACACCTCTAAGTTGTTTAAAGCACTTGTTATGCGGCTCAAAGTTATGCCACTCAGGGGCAGGATTATCTCTTGGTCCACATAACCCAGCTCCTGTTCCATTAAGATGTGGCCATTCTCCACAGATGTGCTGCTCAGGTTGAAGGTGTGACCGTAGGCTAACACTAAGCTGATCAGCATTTATGCGACCCTCAGTATAGTGTGCAACAAGGCCCAATGAGACATGAAATCATATATAACCGCTTCGAGCCTCAGTTTCCCCCAGTATAAAAGGTGCAACTCTCAGCTTGTGAGAATGCTGCAAAGCTTCCCTGGTGTTTGGTGTAATCTTCTTTAGAAGTGCAAAAGCTGTGACTATCGAATCACGTTGTCCCATAACTTCTTTTTTAACAAAGTTTTAATTTAAAAAAGATAAAATCTGACAAGCCAGAAGGATAACGGCAAGGTTATAAGCACTGGGAGGGGTTACTTAAAGGCTCTGGAAGCTTTGTCATTGCAAGTTTTACGCAGAGGTTAGATAAACATTTATCTTGGCTATTTTAGACAGGGACAGTCCTGCCTTGAGCGGAGGGCTGAACTAGATGACGTCCGGAGAGCCCTTCTAGCCCAATTCGCCGATGATGCTATACAGAGAAAACATTACTGTAAGACGGATGTGGGCCCATATATGAGCTCATAATTGCCTGCGGCCAAATAGCTGGCAATTCTTCAGTCAATGTCCACTTACAGGCATTGCTTTAGATAGTCCTATCATAATTCTGACATCCCCGAGAACAACTCTCCCTACTCCCTAGTTACACAGCCTATAATTTACCCACACAATCAATTTTCGTATCCTTTGCCTTAAACCTGACATTTCTACCATCCTCATCTCTACACTTCATTGCTCCTACCCGTACTGTATTATTAATACGCAGTAATCACATCCCCTCCATTTTCTCCCTCCCCCACTTACCTACTGCAGACAGACCCTGCCTGTAGATCCTGGCATTCCAGTCACGTGTTTCTCACCATGTCTCTGTCATTACTTCTCTTCATGCATGACAGCCCCTCATTTTTCCTAGTTGTTTCCCATGTCTCCAGCATTACTGTAAGAGCGTCCCAGAAATGTTTCACCCCTTTTTTTCTGCTAAATACTATTATCAGCATTGCCTATTTTAGTTACTGGCACAATTCTACTTCTGGGTGCAATCTCTTAAGCAGCCAATTTGGAGAATGGCACCCTCCTGCTCCTCTTGCCCCCGCCCCAAAATGTTGCTGTGCCTCGGCTCCCTTCCTGCCTGTTTTAAAGCCCTCCAACACTAGTCTTGCTACCTAGCCCAGAAGGGTCAGGGTTTTGCTTTGCTTAACAGGCTTATAACGAACGCCCCTCATGAGTTGATGCTCATTAGTAGAGAACAGACCCTCATGGTGATAATGGTCCTGCTGTACCTGAGGGGTTTTCCTCATCGATGACAACCTGACACTTTTCATAAGCATTATATTCCCTTAAAAAAAAAAAACACAAATAATTTTTCTCTGTTCTCCATCTGCCTTCTGTCCTAATGAATCCAGCTCTGCTATTTATAGCATGGATTTTGTGTGCATTATTGCAATTTCCTTCCAGGGTTGTGTAGAGGCCTCAGACATTTTTTCCTGAAGTACTTTAAAGCACATTCCTAGGAAGCACAGCTGGTCTCCCTTCCATTAAGCACCTGCTTCTCTTCTAAACCTATTTCCTTAATTTCAAGATCATCTTAATTATTTTTCCAGGTACTGCTACTTTTGTGTAATATATGGTTAATTGCTTTTATCCATTTTTTTTAATGGAATTAAAAAGAAAGAGGGTCGTCAACGACTGGTAATGAGTCAACAAGAGAAAAATGTCAACTGCTTTCCTTTTGTGTCTTAAAAGGCTGTTGAAATGGCTGCACAGATTCAGCAAACACTTAAGGCCAGACTGAAATCTCACGGAGGTATGCGAGACTTTTCCCTATGAACAGGTTTAGCACTGAAACCGAATTTATACCCTTCTTCCCCTTGATGACTATGGATTGAAGTTATCTATAGGCTTCTTCCATTGCAGAAAATAGGGTACACGGGTTAATTAACTGTCTGTTGGGTCTTGTCTTTTAAGCAGGAAGGAGATGCAGGAGGTGATGGAGCCATCGAGATCTGGGGACATTTGCATTGTCTAGAAGGGTGCCCCAGGCAACTAGCATGAGGGAATTTGATACCTTTCCCCCTTCGAAATGTTTTTATTCTCTAGTCTTGCGCATCACTTATACCAGCCCCATCTTTAAGACTCTGTTGACTGAGGGGGAGCAGATGGGCTTCTTTGTTGCCTGTCAGGGCTGTTTCTTCATGGCCCACGGGGCAAATTCTGTGCGACTCCGGCACTAACTGAGAGGTGTCACGTTGACAGCCCTCTGCTTATCCACAGAACAGAAGCAGCCTCGAGAGCAGGCAAAAAGCTTTACAAAACTACTTCACCAACACACATCAGCTGTGCTTTGGAGGGACCACCTGGAGGGGACAGAGCGATTCAGTCACTAGGACAAGGCTATTCATTCCTCAGTCTCTCTGAAGAGCCCTAACTGTGTTGATGCCTGTGCTGTGGGCAAAGACCACCGACAGGAATTTTCCTGCCATACACGGCCACAATAAAGCCATCAGTTTGGACTGAATTGTGAGTCACAACCTAAAACTACCTCTACCTGCCTACTGCTCTCTGAGCCACTAGTCCCCTCTTGGGAGAGATCACTACTGGGCACCACAAAGCAGCTTCCTTCATTCCTTCCTTCACAGCTCTGAGGCACATAAGCTGCTTATACATGTGTTTGCGGGTGCAGGCACTTTAATTAAATAGTTCCCAGACAGCTGCTCTAATTAAAACATCTTACCATCATGTGTATTAAGCTCCCACATGTTTCAAAATGGCTGTGGGATGCTTTATCTAGAGCTCATTCAATGAAGTTTAGATAAAGTGCTCCCCCGGCCATTTTGAAATGTGCAGGGGTTTAATACCTGGGCAGTGAGGCAATACTGAAGAGGTCTAATTAGGACATGAATGAGCATGTCTATAGGCATGCATAGGCTCTGCAGGGCTTTGGACCCATTCTGCTGGCTGTAGGGAAGGAAGAAGACACCAGGGCAAAAGACACCAAGTGTAGGGATTGAATTCTGGTTGGGATACCAAGTCAATTTTTTTTATAAAACTGATTTTTTTAAATCTGTGACTACTGTCCACATTGTGTCTGTATTTAGCCACATTCTGGCAATAATTCAAATGATGGTACTAGATTCATTTCCCTGGCTTGATAGGGCATCCCCAGATTAAGAT